ATACTTCACCTTTTTCTTTTGCTGAGTAATCTTATATTTGGATAAATCGCTATTTGTTTATTCATTCATCTGTTTATGGACATTTGGGTTATTTCCAGATTTTTGACAATTTAAAAATAAACGTGATACAAACATTTGTGTACATTTCTTAAAATGAATATATTTTATCTTTTTTTAATAACTTTGAGTGCAGTGTCTGAGTCATAGGGTAGGTGAATGTTTAACTTTTGAAGAAACTAACAAATTTTGATCTAAAATGACTTTTTGCATTCCTACCAGCAGTGTATGAGGGTTCCATTTCCTCACATCCTAGTGAATCCTGATTTGTTTAATTATTTTAATTTTAGCCCTCCTTTTTTTATTTTTATTTATTTATTATTATTATTATTTTTTGCGGTACGTGGGCCTTTCACTGTTGTGACCTCTCCCATTGTGGGGCACAGGCTCCGGATGCGCAGGCTCAGCGGCCATGGCTCACGGGCCCAGCCGCTCCATGGCATGTGGGATCCTCCCGGACAGGGGCACAAACCCGCGTCCCCTGCATCGGCAGGCAGACTCTCAACCACTGTGCCACCAGGGACGCCCAGCCCTACTTTTTAAAAAAATATTTATTTATTTATTTGGTTGTGCCAGGTCTTAGTTGTGCCAGGTAGGCTCCTTAGTTGTGGCATGTGAACTCTTAATTGTGGCATGCATGTGGGATCTAGTTCCCTGACTAGGGATCGAACCCGGGCCCCTGCATTGGGAGTGCAGTGTCTTATCCACTATGCCACCAGGGAAGTCCCCAATTTTAGCCCTTTTAATAAGTGTGTCATGCTATCTCAGTGTTGGTTTAATTGGATTTACTTAAGGATTCATGATGAGCATTTTTTCAGATGTGTATATGCTATCTGTATGTCTTTGGTAAAATGTGTGCTCATATCATTTAGGCTATTTTCCTTTATGAGTTAGGGCTATTTCCTTTTAACAAATAGAGCAGTGAAATAACAAAGATATATTGGAATTTTACCCATTTTACTCCTTGAATAACATAAGTGATTCTTTTGCTTTATGGAATAATTGTTTTCAATTCCGGAAAAATATTTCTTAATTTTTGCAAATTTGGGGACTTCCCTGGTGGTCCAGTGGTTAAGAATCTGCCTTCCAATGCAGGGGACATGGGTTTGATCCCTGGTTGGAGAACTAAGATCCCACATGCAGTGGGGCAATTAAGCCTGCGTGCTCTAGAGCTTGCGCACCACAACTAGAGAGAAGCCCACGCACTGCAATGAAAGATCCTGCATGCTGTCACTAAAATCCCACGTGCCACAACTAAGACCCAATGCAGCCAAATAAATAAAATAAATTATTAATTTTTGCAAATTTGTATGCTATACACAATGTAATGTTCATATTTATCATAGACTTAATTAATTTGCATTATAGATTTATCTGCATTATTAACACACTTCATCACTTTCCTAAGTTAGACATTTAATAATATAATAAAGCCCTGCTTTGTAGTTTTCACCCATTTTCCTGGTCTATCTTGGGGATTGGTGGGTTGGAGCAGGACTTTAAGGTGGACCAGGTGTGGGACTTCCCTGGTGGCACAGTGGTTAAGAATCCACCTGCCAATGCAGGGGACATAGGTTCAAGCCCTGGTCCGGGAAGATCTCACATGCCCCGGAGCAAATAAGCCCGCATGCCACAACTACTGAGCCTTCACTCTAGAGCCCGTGCTCTGCAACAAGAGAAGCCACTGCAATGAGAAGCCTGCACCCACAACTAAGAGTAGCCCCTGCCTGCTGCAGCTAGAGAAAGCCTGTGCACAGCAACAAAGACCCAATACAGACCAAAAAAAAAAAAAAAAAAAAACAGGTGGACCAGGTGGTATTAGGATAGACATTCTGAAGCTCTTCTGGAAGCCAAAGAATAGGTCAGTGATCAGACTTCCCAAACGTGGGCCATACAATGTGGGTTTAAATCTCGTCGCCAGACATCACTGGGACAACAGGCAAAACAATCCACTTTCTGGGTTGTCTCCTGTGTAAAATGGGGATAAAGAGCAGCCCTGTGCCCAGGCCTTTGGAGGAGCTGAGGTGCCCGTTCTGTGTGCAGTGGCTACACCACCAGCCACACCTGCAGGTGATATCCCGAAGCCATACACCTCTGGGCCTTTCTGTCCCCAGGTGCTTGTGAGAAACAAATGGGGCTTCCTAGAACCCTCTGGTCCACTGGAAGACGTGTCTTCATGTTACTGAGGTCTCATTGTGGAATCCCAGGGAATCTGTGGGCCACTCTAGAGTTCCTCAAGATTTATTTCACTGACTGTGACAGGGAGGTGATGAAGGTGTTCACCGTAGCCTCTGTGACGGTCACTCAAAGCAACAAAATACAGCCTGTACTGGTACCAGAATTCCAGGACTTGCATTTTGAGCATTTCTTTTTAATTCTCACAGCACTCTGGGTATTGGGAGCTATTACTGTATTGCTGGGGAAATCCAGGATCACAAAGATGAAGTGGGTCCCCCAAGGTCACACCACAGAAAAGTATCAGATTCAAGAGGCTGGATTCAAACCTGGGAGTCTAGCTGCCGAACTGGGGACAGTCTCTTTATCATGGCACTTGAAGCCTTCAGCCTGGGGCATGTGCACAGTGAGGTTCATGGAGACTCAGCTGCTGCTGCTGTTATTGTTGGATTTATTTTCGTGATCGTTTCCCCATTCCTTGGATGTCCCAGAGCAGTTAATGTCTACTGTGGAAAACAGAATGGAGGTTTCTCAAAAAACTGAAAATAGAACTGCCATGTGATCCAGCAATTCCATTCCTGGGTATATATGCAAAGAAAACAAGAATAATAATTTGAAAAGGTACATGCACCCAATGTTCATAGCAGCATTATTTACAATAGCCAAGATATAGAAGCCACCTAAGTGCCCATCAACAGATGAATGGATAAAAAAGATGTGGTACACACACACACACACACATACACACACACATGCATGCATGCCCACACACAGTGGAATACCACTCTGCCATAAAAAATGATATTCTGCCATTTACAGCAACATGGATGGACCTGGAGGGTATTATGCTCAGTGAAAAAGAGAGACAAATACTGTTTGATATCACTTATATGTGGAATCCAAAAAATACAGCAAACTAGTGAATATAACAAAACAGAAACAGACTCACAGATACAGAGAACAAAGTAGTGGTCTCCACTGGGGAGAGGGAAGAGGGGAGGGGCAAGATAGGGGTAGGGGACTTAGAGGTACAAACTGCTATGTAGAAAATAAATAAACAACAAGGATATATTGTACATCACAGGGAATTACAGCCATTATTTTGTAATAACTTTAAATGAAATATAATCTATAAAAATTTTGAATCACTATGTTGTATACCTGAAACTAACATAATATTATAAATCAACTATATGCCAATAAAAATAAAAATAAATGTTTAAATCAGGGAAAAATATTGAGCTCAGCTTAACTCATCTCTTCTCAGACTTTAGTATCTCCTAATAAAAATTATTGAGGTCTTAACTTTTTTCACACTTCTCAGATGCTTCCCCAGAGTTATCTCTGCCACTATCTTTGACTAACTACATAATCATTATAAATAGTTCCTTATAATTCGCATTTCACAACTTTTTTTTTTCGATATCATCTATTCCTCATGCACAACAGCCCCAACAATCACTGTAGAAATGATAACCCCCTCCCAGCAAGGAGATGAGATGATGGGGTTCAGATGCCCCTTTTGCACATGCCCTCTGCCTGAGAACACTATCACTAATTGAGCAGGCACTACACTATACCAAAACAGTTTCATAAGTTGCTCTCCATATGAGATAGATGTCAGATTCCTAAAGGAACTGAATATATCTTTGGTCATTGAGTAAGAAATATTAAGTGGCTAGACAGTTCTGCTTTATGGTTTAGACACAATCAGTGAGGATACAGGCATGACAGATGTTCTCTGGGAAACAGGCAGAGACAACTTCTTATCCTCCTATTTCAGGGAGGCCTAAACATCGTTACTCATCTTCCAAGTCATGGCCCTAACTAAACATACAGAGTTAAAAAACAAACAACACTTCTAACTATGTTTTTGAATAACAAGAAAACGTTTATTACATTCCAGCTAAGAGCGGATGCATTTTGAGTCTGAATGAGAATATGTCCGCTCGCATTTGTAGCCTTTGGAAATAATTGGAATAATCTTTTTAGCCACGGGGGGCCATTTTGAGCTTACAGATACCGGAATAATGTTTCTAAACAAATGATCCGTGGCAGACAACACTCCCCGGAAACCCGCGAACCGCCCCTTTAAAAAGGGATAATCACATTCCTTTCCCCCCAAGGTTAGTCATTTCTCAGCGCCACTCTCAGTGCCCCAGAACCTTTTTTTTTTCTTTTTTTAATTTAAGTATGGCTGATTTACAATGTTATATTGGTTTCACGTATACAACATAGTGATTTAATTTTTTTTTTTTTTGGCCCCTTCAAGCGATATGTGGGATCTTACCCTGCAGTGGAAGCGCGGAGTCTTTTAACTACTGGACCTCCAGGGGGCCCGTGATTCAATATTTTTATAGCGTGTACTTCATTTAAAGTTATTACAAAATAATGGCTATATTTCTCCGTGCTGCGCAGAACGTTTCTTGGCCAAGGTGGACGACGGGAATCTCCTCCTGCACAGCTGTGGAAACTACACTACCCAGAGGGCAATGCGCCCAATGGTGGCGGAGTTGAGCCAATGAAAGCCCAGGACAGAGGTATTTCCGTGCGTGGGCTTCGCTTCGGGGCGGGACTTCTGGCGTCTTCCTTGTGGCGGTCATTTTGGCCTTTCTCAGTTCGGGTCGCCCACTCAGAGTCTCGGAGCCAGGGGTCCTAAAAGAGAAGGCGTCAGAGGCCTCCACAGAGGCGGATCCAAGGCTTGGCGGCGGCGCACCTCGGGTTGACCCGTAACAGGCTGAGATCGGGACCTCCACGCCTCACAGACTCCGCTTCGTCCACAGACTCCGATGGCGGCGGCGGCGCTGAGGGACCCGCCTCAGGTAAATGTTCGTCTTCCGGGCTCTCACCGCCCTCACCCCCCCAGACATTAAAGACCCAAGTGCGGGGCGCCTGCTCACGTGCCTGCAGCTCGGGGCGCGGTGTCCAGGACGTGAGGCGGTCGTGGGTAGGTCTTTTTCTGACAGTGTGATGGCGCGTGGGAGAGGGTGGCAGGCGAAGGGACCCGCAAGTGCAAAGGCTGGGAGGTTGGACTGAGGCGGGAGGATTCGGGAAACCTGGAGTCCGTCTTATGTCTGCAGGACACAAAGACTGTGAGGCGAAGTTGTGCCTGAGGAGATTTACTTTCATTCTGAAGGGTGTGAGCAAAAGAGGGACACTGAGATAGGATTCTAAAAGTTTTCCAAAGGCTGCTCAGAGGAAGAAGAGACGAGAAGAGAGATAATAGATACGGGAAAGGTCGAATCCTGTAAAAGATTACACAGCTGGCAAGACTGCTCTCAGGACGGAGGCCCAGAGGTAATTCAGACATCTCGAGCTCTCCTGGCTCCTGGGCTGGCCAAGGGTACTTAGCGGTCTGAGCCCAAGGATGCTGGCCGTGGTGGTCAAACTCTCAAACAACCTCTCTTTTTCCCCAGATTCCTATAACTACGGAATCTCTTAGTGATACTGGTTTGTGGAGTTTATTTCAGGGTCTCGTTAGTCCTCACCCCACCCGTGTGGTCTCTGGGGTAATAGCGTCCTGGTACTGTTCTGCCACTCTTCCAGGCCTTGGGCCTGGGGGCCTTGAACAAACACCAGGCCTAGAGTTATTTAGGATGGTTCCTATTTTTGGCAACGAGTGGAATGAGATGAGGAAAGTACCAGATCTGGCATAGGTACCAGATGTGCAAAGGCCTGGAGGGGAGGTGAGGGAGGGTTCAGGGATGTGCAGGTATCTTTTCTTTCTCATGGGAGCTGAGAGCAGTGGAGCAGGAGGTAGGTCTGGAACAGCTTTTTTTTTTTTTTTTTTGGCTGCGTTGGGTCTTCATTGCTGTGCGTGGACTTTCTCTAGTTACAGTGAGCGGGGGCTACTCTTACTTGTGGTGCGTGGGCTTCTCATTGCAGTGGCTTCTCTTGTTGTGGAGCATGGGCTGTAAGTGAGCTGTGCTCTGTGGGCTCAGTAGTGTGGCACACAGGCTTAGTTGCTCCATGATATGTGGGATCTTCCCAGACCAGGGATTGAACCCGTGTCCCCTGCATTAGCAGGCGGATTCTTAACCACTGCACCACCAGGGAATTCCCTGGAACAGCTTTGTGAGAAATTGGGTTTCTCTTCTGGAGGTGATAGGAGCAATGAGAAATTTGGAGCAGTGGAGACAGGTGATCTGACCCAGGTCTCAACAGGCTCCCTGTGGCTGCAGCATGGAGAACAGTATTGGCATAAGGGAGGTGTTAGGAAGACCAGGGAGAAGGATACTCCTATAATCTGGGTGAGTGTGCTGGTAGCTGGACCAGGGTGGTGGCCATGGAGTTGGGAGATGTGGCTGGATTCTGGATTGGTGTTTTAGGTATGGCAAGCTGGATTTTCTAATTTTGAGGTTGGAAGAAGGAGTCAGGGATGAAGTGAAAGTATGGATTTTGCATGTGGAAGGATGGAAGCTCTACCAACTGATATGGGGAAGTCCATAGTAAGAGTAATTTTCACTGGGGATATCAGAAGTTTTATTCTTGGCCTCTTAATGATATGAGGTGTTTCAGAGTGCAGTTTGTGGGCATCCTTCTCTGAGGAGGAGTTTGGGATGGAGACTTATACAAAAGGTAGTAGACAGTGTGGACCAAGGAGGAGCTGTAGATCATTTTAGTATGGGGAGTCCTGGTCAGGAGGATAATGGTAATAATAGCCTAGGAAGAAGAGAATGGGTCTGTGGACTGGGCTTCCTGCTTGGATCCCTGGTTGTGGGAGGTAGGTGTCATAACATGGGTGAAGGAGTTAGTCACAGAGAGGGTTATAAGGGTAAATGGTTTGGCATGCAACCAAGGCTTCTGAAGCATCAGTGGGCATGAGATGGATGCAGAGGCATCATCAGGAGTAATTCAGACAAACTGGTGTTTATTCACTGCTCTACCAACTCACTAGGGTTTTGTTGTAACCCTTGGTGGGACCTGGGGTGTTCTAGTCAGGCTGGCAGATTAGCTTGGGGACACAAGCGGTCATCTGGGAAACTCACAGATGATGTAGAGGTCCAGGTGCTGGGCCTTGAATGAGGGTTAGGTGGAGAAAGGAAAGCTATGACTGGTGAGGGTTCATCAAGTGCAGCAGAAGTGGAGTAGGGCCATGGGTATCTGAGATCTGATGTGGTTCTTAGTGGGTGAGGTTGAAGCAAGGGACAGTCAAGGAAGGAGGCCTTCATAGCAGGACTCAAGGCTGCCTTTGTCAGTGGGCACCGTCACCAACTAGGGTCATACTTGATCGTGTTTGAATTTGCCAAGCATTCTGTGGATCACATATACTGAGTAATGGATAGAGAGACTGAGGAGATGATTTTGGTGTAGGGCAGGAAGGGGGCTGTGGCTGTGGGAGTGAAGTTGTGAGACAGTTGTGGTGGAAAGAGT